CTATTATAAACAGAACCAAGAGGAAGGTATGTACCTGTCTCTTATACACATCTAGATGTGTATAAGAGACAGGATGAGCACCTCACCCCCCTTGCACCCCAATAATAAAAACAGAAGTATGGTCATGTGCTATCGAGGATGCAAACCAACCGACCACATAGCAGGCCACAATCACCACCAGCAGTACAGGAAAAAAACACAGACACAGCACCCAGAATAGGCATGTAAGAAACTCTTTGCGGTGGCATGCACAGATACATGGGCATATAAGCAATCGGTGAACAGATAGACAGGTGTGTTAGCAACTGAATGAACAGACACGTAAGTGTCCACACGCAACTCAAGGAAAAGATAAGTAGGCACACAGAATCCCCAAGCAAACGTAAGTCCAGAAGCGGAGAGATGAGTCCCTTTCCCCCCATGCACCGAAAGAAGCGAAAACGAAGTATGGTTGTGTGTGCTACCAAGAATGCTAAGTTGCTAACCAATCCACACCACCTGACCTGGCAGGCCACAATCGCCACCGTCAGTAATAAGAAACACAGACACACCATCCAGTTCAAAAAAAAAAAAAAAAAAAAAAAAAAAAAAAAAAAAAAAAAAAAAAAAAAAAAAAAAAAAAAAAAAAAAAGGCATCCAACCAACTCTGTGAACATATACAACAGGCACTCAAGCAATCACTAGGTGTGTAAGCAATCCCATGAACAGATAGATAGCAGCAGACCTTCTCAGGCCTTAACCAAAACAAGGGGAAAAATAAATAAATATTAAATAAATAATTGTTTGCAATAAACCCAGCAAAAAGATCATGGTAACCCCTGTCAAACGTCCAGATCACGATGCGGACGATCTGGATCCAGATGTCCGGGTTGGGTGTCTGGTCTCGTATGTCTGGATTGGCCTCCCAGACAAGGATATTTTACTTTTTTTTTCCCTTTTTTAAGTGGGGCGCCTGGGACGACGTTTTGGGTCCCAGCCTCCCAGGCACCCCCAAAAAAATTGAAAAAATATTATTAGTGTGATTCTGGGGTCCTGTAGGCCCTTTCGGACGGGACACTTCCAGAGCAAGTAGTAGATTCCGCGCTTTTTCTCAGACATCCATCATCAGAAAACTAATCATGCCCACTAGCTTCAGAAAGTGGACACCTCTCGTCAATCGGACTGCATGAGGCGGTAGCAGATAAGAAGGCGACCTTACTCACCCGACGTCCAGGTCTTCATTCAGGAAAGGATACACGTTCTATCATAAAAGATCGTTGGCGTTCGGCTCAGGCAGGACTCGAATGCAAGACCTGGCCCAAGCGTGAAGCCAGTACTAGTTGATTTTGCGTTTGCTGTTCGTCAAGTTTCCTCCCCATCAGATGGATAGGTGTTCACGCAACTCAATGCAAAGATGCATAGGCACGCAAGCAACTAAACGAACAGCAATACCTGTTCTCGCAACTTCTTGTCCTTTCGGCTGAGATCAAGCGTAAGAGTATGTGTGTGTGTGTGTGTGTGTGTGTATGTGTGTGTGTGTGAGAGAGAGAGAGAGAGGCCTGAAGGGCTTGAGGTGATCTTATGTGGAAAGACTCGGAGGACTACTCAAAACACTTGAAACATAACTTGGCCTATTGCCCAAACCACTGCGTTCTTTCAGTCAAATACAGAATTATAGCAGGAGTCACATGACCAGATTGCTGTTACAGCAGATTACTCATCAACTGTGTGCACCCCTTTCACCCCCCCACCATGACTCCTTCCGCCATCCCCTTCCACAGTTCCACCTCTTCACTCAGCCCCATCGATCAATCACATCAGTCGCACAGGAAAAATCAATCAACCAATTGAATGCCATCTATTGGGCAACCCCCCTAACATTTTGGCACCCATAACTCTCCCAAAGGTTCTACTACAACTACGTTCACCCCTATTGATAGCTACTCACTGCTGATAGCTACTCCCTACTGCTACCTATGATACTTGTTGCACAATCAACCAATTGATCAACGACGCTCTGTGCCCCTGAGTGCTCCCTACCACATCCCTCCCCCCTTTGGTCCCCCGTCCCCCCCTCTCCACATGTGCCACCTTTTCTCCCTCCCAAAGTTCGATTGATTCCATTGACTGAATCAATCAGTTGTTGCACTAACCAATCTCATTGAACCCACCACCACCCCACCACCCCATCGTCCTTTTCCCCCCAACAGATACATGCACATGTCGCACACAAGCACACACATGCACATGCACATGCACATGCACATGCACATAAACACCACGTGCATGATGTGCACAAAACCTGGCCACGTTATGACCTTGTTCATGCCTCAGCATGAACAATCAGTGAAACCTGGCTCTCACTGTGGGGGGAGAATCATCGGTGTTTTTGGAAACTTTTTCCCCTGACGGGGAAAGGTACAGGTTCCCCTCCCTTAGGACCATGTGGACCTCCACGTAAGTCTGCTTTTAAAGTTTAAAGTTTAAACCAGTGGAGCCTGGCCCTAATGGAGAGAGAGAGAAGATTAGTATGGCCCCACTCGTGGTTAATAGGTGGCGTCATTTTCGGCGAACTTTTCACCGAAACTGCCATATTTCCCTGAATTTTTCCTTTTTTTCTTGTTTTTTTTTTTTTTTTTTCTGTCTGATATGG